TGAAAGCATATTATATATATATATATAAGTCTTGAGAAAACAAAGCTATCCTCATATAACAGCCAAATTCCTACATAACTCAATTTCGACATCTCATCTGGTGTGAACTGCACTCATTCCTAGTGTAAACCCCACCGCGCTGTGCAATGATATACTGTAATGTCACCTCGCAATCTGGATTTACTATAAAGGGCTTCTGACGAGTTTCAGAGCAGTAAACATTGCAGCGAGGTGTATTTCACACTGAGCTGGTTTTTATGAAGAACACTTCACCGCCCAGCCACAGCACCCAGATGATGAATGGTGAAAGATGCGTGACAAGCTTCATCATTGTTTGTAAATCTTAACTGTTCCCGCTCACTAACTCTGCAGGCAATTTTCAAAGACAGCGGCCGACAGAAGGACAGCACAGCTCTCCTGAAGGTTATTCAACTTGTACTTGGCCTAAGCTCTGCCTCTGAGAAGGTATGCACTGAAAAATAACTTTCTGGTTATCAAAGCACCAGCACTGAGGGTGCATTAATGGGAGCCAACTGAAGATATTCCGCCTCCAAACGAGCCTGCCATGGAGCAGTATTTCCAACTGTTAGATCCAGAGCAAATGTGATCTAAAATTGTCAGCCCTACTAGATAGATCAGATCAGGAACTGGCTCCACAAATACATCAGAACCATGCTTTATTGAGTTAGGTTATAACAACAGACTCTTGCAAGTCTGCTTGTGCATTTTCCTTTCCCTCTTTCTTATATCCCAGGGAGTCAAGGCGGAGCCAGTCTGAGTTTTTTTCTAACACTTTCCTACCTCCTAGGTTTAACACATGCTTCTGCACCTGTTGTCTTAACGGCTTCTGGATGGCTTCTCCAAAGTCATCTCCAGGCTCCCTACAAATGTCGAGGAGCATCCTAACTTATTTGGAAATGAGCAGGGATAAGATTAAAATTCTGTGCACATTTGAAGTAAGTCTTACTGAGTTTAATGGCTCCCCAGTAAGTATGCATAGGTTTGCTTGCAGCCCAAGTGAAAATTCTCTAGATGTAATCTCGCTCACAAAGACTTTTCACAGTTAGCTAAACCTAAGTCACTTTGCGTGAGATGGGCGGCTATATAAATATGATAAGAAAGGAAGGGAGGGAGGGAGGGAAAGACAGACAGACAGACAGACCGACGTAAATTCACAATCATTACCACCACTTATAGACTCCTAATTCATCCATCTACTTATGTATTTACAAGATAGAAACCATTCAGCCTTTAAATAACGTTTTGATCACCTATCAAACAAGGCAGAGCATTTAAAATGTGTCAAGGACAACCAAACTGGTCTAAGTAATCTTGAATATCAAGCATTAAACTCTCAAAGCAGTAAGCACAACTGTCCCAGCCTATTTCAATAACTCTGAGCATTAGTTATTCTGGGAGAATCACTTTTAATTTTCTTTTAGCCTCTGATTATTTACATCACCAAGATCACTTAAGATTAATTCGACTTTACTACCTTGAATCAACAATTCTTCTATGCAAAACATACTAGAAATCTAAGGAGATTTTTAGCCTCTCCTCTTTGCTTAGTTCTCCCTTGAGTTAACAGAGATACTGAACTTAACTAGCAACACATAACAAGGGAAAAAATAGATAATTAGAAGGCTCTGACTTCCCACTACTCCATACTAGGAGAGTCAGCAGCATCTCAGGTTTGTATGAATAGGCAGAGCTCAAAAATCATAGCAAACCTTGGGATTCCCTCGACAGAATCCTACTTAGCCACCATGACTGGATGGAAGTGTTTGATGCGCATCGCACTACCATCTGAGTACATGAAAGAGTTACTGTTGTGGCAGCCCTATGGACACCTTTGCAAGGAAATCTATCCGGTTGTTGTGATTAATCTTCTGATGCTGATTGAAGACTTGTTTTTGATAACCTTTAGATTTTGCCCCTTTCCAATACAGTTTGACCTGCATTTTAAATAATGTTTTCTTTTTAGATGTTTGTAGGTACATTTTATTTACTTTCAGAGTGCTATTTAAAGCTGAAAGGTAGGATAACCACTTCAATATTACAAGCTATTTGTACTTGTATTATTTTTTGCTTTATTCCTTAATAATAATAGAAAAATTAAAAATTGGAAGCTACCATACTAGGGTCAAGGCACTAGCCCTTTAGGAAATTACCTTATCCACTACAGCAATGCAGAGATTTTAAGGCAAAAAGGTGCTTTGGAGTGTCCGGGGCACTCAAAAAGCAGCTGTCTTTTTCTGGGACTGCTAAATTCCCTCCCCAGCACAATTCCCAATACAATCCCAGAAAAATATGCATCTGGTTTAATTTGCAGATGCTTCCATATTCTAAAATACAAAACTCTGCACAGCTCTAGTATCCACTTTTCCTCTTTCAGTCCTATTTAAAAATTAATTACCAACAATCGCTAGAGACTCAGGAGTTAGGCAGAATACAATGCATGGCTTATAAGGAAATAGGGCAATCAGAAAGTGTCAACTAAATGACTTGTCAGCAAGCAAGACAGAGCATGTGAACTCAGCATCACTTCTATATACAATCCACTTTCAGTATTGTTCCCATGGTATCAACTAAACCAACCCATAATTATGTTTATCTGCACTCCATTCAGAATTGGAGGGAGGGGTAATAGAAATAACCTGTAACTACTCAAGTTTGGAATTCTACTTTAGTTGGGCCCAAACTGTCCTGGAGTTTGCCTTGAGGTCCTGGGGGACAGCTAGGATATAAATCAGTTGAATATTCCTAGTCTCTCAATTGCCTAATAAAGTTCCCTTCTCCCCTAACATACAGCAGCAGCAACAGGAATTTATTTTTGAAAACATAATGTTGGATTAAATGATCCCCAGGTTTCCTAAATCCTAGTAACCACAATCCCATGGTCCCCAAGTACTTGAAGCCTCATTGCAAAGCCTGATCCTCCCTTGCCACCACTGCTAGTTATGTCTGAGTAGGAGAAAGAGGAAGAGGGGGATAATTCTGATTCTGTTCGTTCTCAGTCCTCCTGATGTCACACAGAGTACACCCTGAACATTTACAAGACATTAGGAATTAAACAATTCCAAAGAGAAGTTGAACAGTTTAGCAAGGAATCACTCCAAATAAAATTCAGGATGACTATTGTGTGTGCCAATTGGGCCTGTTCCTGGATGAGGGGATCTTGCTCAAGATCATTCACACCTTGGTCACCTCTTGTTTGGCTTATTGCAATGTGCTCTATACTGCTGCCCCTGAAAACCATTCAGAAGTTGCAAATAGTCCAGAATACAGTCACATGGTAGTTATTAGTATGTCATTGTATACCCATGTGACACTACTATTTTATGAGCTGCACTGGCTCCTAGGAGGCTTCCAGGTGCAATTTAAGGTGCTGGTTATCACCTATAAAGCCCTCTTCATGGCACAGAGCTTGTCTCACCATGAAGCTTAATAGGGCTCCCTCCCTAGAGCCTTTCCCAAGAGGAATACATATGGCTCCACTTTAAACAATATCTCCCTTGAATCAAGCTTTACTCCAGAGAGGCACATTCTTTTTTTTCTCTGTAACAACATATGTGATTTGCTGTTGCTGTCTTCTGGATTATTTCTTCAATCTCTCCACCTAGTCCACAGCCTCCGATTCAAGCATCTAATCCTGTTTATCAGCCAAGATTAATCAAAATTGGTCAGCTGCTGTCACCACTGACTGACAGATTTATATCTTGCCTTTAACTCCAGGTGTTCAAGATAGCATACAAAGCACTCCCTCCTATTTTTCTCCACAACAACCCTGTGAGAGGGTAACTAGCCCAAGTGAGCTTCTGTTATGAGGGTGGTCTTGAACTTGTGCCTCTCCAGCTACCTGGCCTTGGTGGAGCTCAAGTTAAGAAGTAAACCTGGTTAATATATAGCTGGGTTACAATACCCTTCTGTTTTTAATGACATACTGTATGTGCTGCCGCCTACTGAGGTCTTTAAGCTATAAAGTTGTTAAAATTCATTCTGACATTCACAAGTGGGGCAGCAAAGAAAGAAAGAATGAAAGAATGATACTCTTCAAACTCTTCTATTTTGATTTAAAAACATATACAGAGTTCCACACTTCTTACATTCTTATTGCAATCACAGAGAAGACTGAAGGCCTTTGTCTGCCTCTAAAATGGAAATGTATACGTGTGCTTGAAGTGATCAATGTATTAGGAAGATGGGGGAACTATTAGAAGGACCATCCAAAAAGAATGCCATGTGTTTTTATATTTGCACCCTTCATAATTGTATCTGTGCTTCTCAGGACAGCAGGTTGCCCTGTTATGGAAAAATACTTTGTCAGAGCTTAGAAAATTCTGCTTGAGCTCAGTAAATTACAACTCCCTGCTTGTCTGTTGCTGATTGATGGACTAACTTAGGGAACAATATCAGTGTCTGGAATATTGTCTGGACAAGTAGTCAATAATGATGGAAAACACTGAATTTTTTGAAGTTTAGAAATGTACAAGGCATGCAATTCTCCTCCTTCAAATCCCTACAAACAGCCTTCTCCAACTGGGTGCCCGCCAGATCTGTTGGAGAAGGCTGTTTGTAGGGATTTAAGATGTGTGGACAGCTCCCAGATTTCCTTTGGCAGGCCTGCCAGATCTAGAGGGCAGCATGAGGAGGAGGCTGGAGTAAAATACCCCCCCCAGCAATTCATACGTTACAAAGTACTCAAGTTGAAGAAGGATTTAACACTACGCCAGCAGTTGCAGACTTTGAAACCAGATTTTCAAGGAGGAAGACGTCCCTAAGCAAAAACATAAATCAATACTCGGGAATGTTTGGTTTCCATTCATAGTTAATGAAAGAATAATGCTGGAGAAAAAAAATGAGTGGAAATAACTATTTTAGGAATAATTCAGAAAATTTTAATAAAATGTTATCTATCTCCCATGTTACGTGCCTCTGCCTAGTTCAACCACTGGCTTTTAAGCAGAAGCCCCAACATCTCTTCTCATGAAGATGCTTACCATTTGCTTTTGTTTCAGAGTAAGAAGGATTCTCCTCAAAAGTAAAAATTTGGGGAACACAGGCAGGGGCCCCAACACTCTGTCCCAAATAAGAGCTGGAGGGATAGTAAGAATGCATCCTGTACTGGGAACTCAAGCTGTGCCGATTTTCTGGGCTTTTCACCTGTTAAGAGAAATAGCAGAAAGAGCACGTCATACAAGCATGCAAGGAGAGAAAACCTGCATTGGATGGAGGCAATTTTCCCCACACATAAGCATATTTTTGGCTTATTATCACATTCTCCTCCCACTGAATTCATCACTGGAACTCTCCGCCTGAGAATGTTATGCCTGAAATCCTCAATTTGTTCCAACTCAGGCAGCAACAGTGTTATTGTCCCCATCCGTGGAAAGGCATTTTGAAGCCTGAAGGAAGTGGTGCCCAGGTCCTCACGGAGCCGCAGGTGCCTGATAAAGCCTACCCTGCCAACACTGTTCATAGCCTGTGGTTGTTATTGCTCAAGGTGTTGCAGGTTTGGTAGCACTTCTAGATGCCTCCAGCCCTCCTTTGATTAGTCATGATGAGGAGACAAAAAAACAGTATGTACACCATTGGGAAAGAGATACGGCTGGACCGCTTTCAATTCTCTTTCAAGCAACCTAGTTTCCAGCTTTCACGTGCAGACATCACTGTAAATGGATCTGTGTCTCCAGTGTAAAGGAAGTAAGGATATCATGAGAGTATATTCCCCTGATTCCTACTATCATACAGTATTCAATTTCTCAAACTGATCAACACTTTAACGCAGGGCTGTCAAGAAGGCAAATTATTCATTCTCGGGGCAAAACAGCTTCAGTTCATGAAAAATATAAGCCATTTACAAATTTGCTTATGATGTAAGAAGCATAAAAATGTCGAGCAGGGACAACTACCTTAATTTCTGAAGGAGATATGCCATTTCAAACCCCAATCTTTTCTTGGCAATTCGTATTCTATATTTGTGCTCTGCAATTCCTTTGGAAGCTTGAGAATTTTAGTCTTCCTGGTTTAGTGAAGATCTGCTATACATTCATTAGAGATGTGCAAATCCTTTGCTTTCATGCAACCAGAACGTCATCTTTTGCATGAAAGCAAAGGATTTGCACAGGAAGACTAAAATTCTCAAGCTTCCAAAGGAATTGCAGAGCACAAATATAGAATACGAATTGCAGCAAAATAAAACAGTATGCATGGATGAGTACACAAAGAAAAGCTGCATATGAGAGAAACGTGCATTTCAATGGACTTTCTTTACCTGGTAAGTTACAAGTTTCATATTCTGATGAATTTTGTAAGGCTGGGCAAAAGTCACTCTCTCTCAGCCCAACCCACATCACAGGGTTCTTGTTAGGAAAGTAGGAGGCAGGAGCATTAGGTATGTTCACCACCTTCAGTTTTTTTATATATACTGTATATATATCTAAAATCTTGATTTCATAATGGTAAGAGTATTCACTACCAAGCTTTATAAACAGGTAGACCTTGCTTACTGACTGCTTCTGCAGCGACTGTTCAAAGTTATGACAGCACTGAAAAAAATAATTTTGCAACCAAGGCGTACATTTACAACCTTTGCAGCATCTCTCTTTCTCAGTCACATGTTCGCCATTACAGTCAGTATGCATTGTGTTGTGCCAGACCTGTTTCTTTTTCCGTTTTTCCCCTCCTCATAGAGCGGAGGAGGGAACCTTTAGGCAATCTCTCCTGTGCCTGACCTGTTTTTCTTCTTCCCCCCTCCTCCCAAGCATGCTAGGCAAACAGCTGGCACTAGCATATTCCTTTCAATATGTATTCCCCATTGTGTGCCTGTTTACTCTCTTGTAATCCCTTCCTCTCCAAAGAGGGCAAATACAAACATTAATTCCCTTCTTGCTGATTATCCCAGCACCAGAGTGAGCATTCCAAAGCGCTGGGGAAGGGGGAAAAAGGAAAGCTGAAGTAAAATCTTAAGCACAGTCGTGGTCACTTGATTTTCTACTTAGTGACTGAGTTGCTGGTCCCAATTGTGGTCACTGTACTGATAAATCAATCAAATTTGTGGGTCATCAATTTTATTGAAATTCATGGTGGGTCCTTCTGAAAGATATTGCTATTCCATTCCTACTTCCATAGCAGGGCTTTTGGGTAAGTCAGGCTGGGAACAATGAAAAGGTCTTAGACAACAGGTGAATGAATTTCTGAATCTCCCTAGCCATATCCTATAAAATTAAAATACAGCTGCCAATCTCATTGATTTCTATATATGGAATTGGGGGTTCCATCTTGTCCTGCTCTATATAATTCCAGTTTTTAGTAACTGGAAGTTGCTATACAGAACTGTTTTTATGACAACCTGGTTTCCTAGTACATGAGCATTGTCATATAATACTGTCTCACTGGACCCTAAGGCTTTATGTTTGTTTGTTTTTTTCCCTTCTTTATAAACATTTTGCCCAGCACCCCAACCTTAGCACTATTTAGCAAGTCTCTGTGCCCTCTGAGGAAAGCAAAGGCAGAAACTAAGGGGTTAATCAAACTTGCACATATTCTTTGGTCTAAATCATCATTAAATAACAAAATTATATAGGAGGCTACCAATTTACAGAACCTTGAATCCTGACCCTGGAAGTTATTTTTCATCCATGAAGAAAACTGGAAGGATGCTTCCATATATTAGAGTAACCTTTTTATACAGGCTGGTTTTTCAAACCTGCTGCTCATGAACTCCTTTTGTTCTGCTGTGGAAAAAAATCTCAGTCTCTATTTGCTTCTGTTTTTCTGTGCCCCCTCTAAAAATAATCACTGCAAAAGGATAATATAATTTCAGAAGCTATAAATGGACCACTACCCACTGGTGCTTAAAGGATTTCTACCTTCTTTACCTTTTCTGGAGGTTGTAGGCAATGACCTGTTTCCTTTCGAGCCTTGTGTTTCTCTCATTTCTTATTCTAAAAAAGTCCACCTAAATTCCCAGGATCCAATGAATTATTACAACTATTATTAGTAGGATGTGGTCCTTGCCTAGCAAGAGACATGGTTTATAATCTTATTATCTGCACCAAGTCTGTAAACCACAGTACGACCGACAGACAGAGGCTAGGCTTTGCAAACAATATGTGTTGAATCAACCACTAGAGAAAACTAAAAAGCGTTAGTTTTTGTTTTATTAAACTATTTAGAATATATAACACAGTAAATCTGAACCACAAGGTTTCCTTTTTATAGAGTTTGGCTACCCTATTTTATAGTAACAGTAAAGAACTAGCCAAACAATAAAATGCTTGACCTTAGCGTGGTATTCATAAACCGGACCCAGATGATCGCTTAATGCTGAGTGAACTCTTTTAACTTGACAGACAATGACCATTTTTGCTTCAGTGTGCCACATATGCTTCAAAGATACATAATTAACTTGGAACATGAGGGAAGAAGGCAACAAAGTTTAAGAGAGAGGCACCTTAATCTTCCAGTCTAGAAGATGAACACATTCAAAGCACTTATAGCAAATAAATAATGACTTTTGTAAACTTCCTCCTGCCTATTCCTGTTATTCCAGGGCATATATGAGAATGATTCATAAAAGTTGGCTTGTACACCCTAGGTATTACCAAATCCATGACTGGACATGTTACAATGGCATGCTAGTTTCACCACCCTATTGTTTCAACAAAGCCTCTCAAAAGAAATCTATCCATGTATAGAACCATATGCCTCTTGCTGATCTGAAAGTAATAGCTGATTATACTTTTGCATAGTATCCTCTCTTATGGATTGATTGTAGTAATCATCTGTAGCTGTGTTTCTCAACCTTGGCAACTTGAAGATGAGTGGACTTCAACTCTCAGAATTCTCCAGCCAGCCATGCTGGCTGGGGAATTCTG